AGTTTTTGGTGGACCTTTGATCTGGCTGCTTGGACATCCTGACGCCAGTGATTGTCACCTCGGCCATAGCTCCCCCCTCCTCTGGAGGTCATCTCAAGGCTTGGGGACGCAGATGTTTATAATTGCCCTTTGGAATATATTTTGACTCTGTGGCCTGGTTTACCTACTTTGATTCCACCTCAATCCATACAGTGCAGTTAACTGCTGCAAATGACTTCCTCCTTAGGTCAAGTTACCCTAAATATGAAAACCTGGTCTGGCATGTAAAAGATTACCACTGGGAAGACAAAGGCGGTTGGATGGGGCTTCGTTGTACCCCTTGCATTATCATTAAGTTTTACCTGCTTATCCCAGACCGTATGCGGTCAAAGTAATTGGGTCGAGGCTCAAAAGAAAGCCATCCCTTGGTGTGGACCAATCAGTTTCAAGGACAATGCATATATTATCATAGTGTGTTTTTGTTTGCATTTTTACTGCAATTATCAGAGTGTGTTTTTGTTTGCATTTTAACTGCAAGTATTGTGGTTAATGCAGACATGAATTCCTGTAAAAAGGTTTCAGTTTTGTTGCCAGAAAAAAGGGGACAAACCCCTATTATTATAGGTCAAAGTAATTGTTAATAAAAAAAAAATGCAAAAGTCATATTAAACCTTTTGACCTGAGCTGCATCATCATATAACAGTATATTATATCACCAACTTAACGTTTAATACCATGATGTTTGAAAATATTCCTATGAGGTGGTGGTCAATCCAAACTTTACAACTTTTCCAAGCCAAGGCTTGTGAATAATAAATCTCCAGATGCTGAGTCTCCCTTGTTTGATGGACACTGCCGAAGCAGCAGGAGGTGCTCCTTTGGCCTTTGTCTCAAGGGAGATGTTCACAGGCCTCTGTTTTTTAGAACACGCTAAATCCAGGTATGTAAAAAAGAGAACAATCGCGTAAAAAAATCGGCAATCACTCTTAATATAATTTTTGAAATGGCATATATACAACATCGGGATCGAACCCACGACCTATGTACCAGGAAAGATAGTTAACATCTCGAAACCACCGTGGCTTCCCTCGGAGATCCCGGCTGTGGGGGGGGGGGTTAACCCCCTTTCATTGAAACATTTAAAAACGGGAGGCTCAGGGGATCAGCGGGCCCAGTTGGCAAGCAAAGTGGCAGGTCCCTCGAGAGGGTTGGGGTGGTCACCTCCTAAACCGAGGGAGGGAGGGTGAGGTCATTCGAGTAGCTATGGGGGGTGGGCACCCATCCCACTTCGTAATAAACTCAATTTTTTTTTTAAACCAACAGTTTAATTAACAGCTTCGTTTAACTCTTGGTCTAGAAGTACGTCAATGGCACCTGAGACACGTGGCGCCTGCTTTTTGTGCAAGCCGATTCCACAGTTTAGGGACCGCGGCGTTTTTGACCTACACAAAAATGTATAATTAATACGCGGTCCATAAAAAATTAATTGCTTGAAAGAAGGAAATTAATTGATGATTTGATGACGATTTTGATACAGGCATGCATTGTCTCCGGATCTGAGTACGTGTGCAAATTTTGGAATTGATTGGACAATAGGAAGTAGACTAATTTTTGATTACAAGATTTGACCACGGCAAACACAAGTTAAGTTAAATAAAACCGTTGAAAAAAAAACTCTAATTTTTTTTTTATATAAATAACGGTTTTATTTTAAATTGCACTGAAAAGTGAAAAATAAAGTTTTTTCAGCCGTCACCAGCTGATCAGAATATCTTTCGACATTTGTAACTAAAACATAAAACCGTGGGGCGCTTCCTTAACATCACTTATATCTTCATCGATGATCAAAAATAGCTAAGAAAAGTTATCAACAAATGTTACTCAATAGCATAACAAAATACTTTAACATTTATAATAATATAGCGCGGCTATCTCTATTTGCTATAAAAAATGTCATGATGGTACTTGGTTGGTTGACATGGCTTGATGTGTTAGTAGCACGGTTGGAATAATCTAACCTATTCCATGCTACAATTCTAGTATTTAGGTTGTGAAGAGTTAGAACAAACTATAATATGAAATAGCTTCTAGTGTTCCTTTGTAAACTAACACAATAAAAAGGTAAGGTGTAAGGTCCTAGGCAATGTAGAATATGCGTTATATGGAATATCACCTATCAATAATATAAAGTCTAGTATGAAATTATATAAAGTTCACCATTCATCTGCAAATCTTGACGACCAATCTTTACTTATCAAAAGTGAAAACTTAACAACAGAAGTAATACGTATTTGGAGCAATTGAAACGCACATGTCAACTTGATTATGATAGGGAAATAAAATAATGCATAAATAATAGCTAAAATTATTACAATTACAAAACTTGACAAATACCTTCGAAATAATTTGTTACAAATCTACTACGCTTTTATTATATTTTGGGATAACCAAAGATATATTTTATTATCTATATAGCAATTACATGTACATGTCATTTATGTACTTATCTTCCCTTCGACTAATATACTCTCACCAAGAATAGAAGTTGGCACAGGAAGGTGCGAAAAAATATATGGGTTTTGGTAAACTTTTCATCACTTTGCAGTCAACTCTTCTTAAAAAAGCACTTCAACATGGATACGAGTAGAAAGAGCTGGTACCGTAATACGGAATTTGTAATTATACTCAAAACACTTGCAAATGTTCTACACTTCATGGCAAACTTAAATTACATAATTATCAACATTTTCCCTTCTACTACTAATGATTGACAATCATTTTGAGATACATTGTATCACACAAATAAACTTTTATGAAACTAAAAAATTCAAAGCAACTCATTATGCATACAAATATTAAAGGAGAGCCCCATGCTTTAAAGTTTTAGTTACAAATGTCGAAAAATATTTTGATCAGCTGGTGACGGCTGAAAATGTTTTCACTTTTCAGCGAACTTTAAAAGAAAACCGTTGTTTAAAAAAACTTTTTTTAAAGGAGTTTATTTTAGTCATTGCTTCTTAATTGATTGTTACATCCGAATAAAGTGGATTGTTTTGAATTAGGCAGTTGAGTGCATTGTAAACTTGTTCCCGATTAATAGAGAATTCACGTGTGATGTTGAGATTCTGAAGATGTTTTGTGATGACAACCATTGCAGTATTATCCATTGCTCGTGGAAGTGTGTCACTAACTTGAAAGATGTCTACAGCAAAGAGCACTCTGCCTGTCCATGGAAGCCATATTGACCGAAGACTCCACAGAATTTGATGATCTTGACAAATGGTATAACTCTTTGATAATAGACGTTGTTCTGGCTGTGTTAAGACTGGAATCACATCTGGAATTTCACGAGAATCCAAATTATTCCAGTAAGCTTTTGGCAGTGCATCTCTTTTGTCCATGTTGATGTGTGTCTTGCAACGTGAACACATTTCCCATGTTTGCTTTGATGACAATTTGGTTGGTCGATAGTGCAATGCATTTTCATTACGTCATACTCTGTAAATCTGATTTGGATAGGAGCGTTTGGGTAGACTTCAAAGATTTAATGACAGAATGTATTGATTGCATTGTCAAATGTTGTCATGTCAGCATTGAGTGCTTGAAGACGTTGCGATTGCTAATGACAATTTCGCTTTAATATGACATCACGTGCTTCAAGTCTTTCTGCAACTCTGAATTGTCACGTGTGTTCACGCACAGATTGCAATCGACCATCACGAGCTTCTGGTGTTTCTTGATTTCTTGATTGTATGTGATGTTGACCGTCTCATTGCAATCCGACGTTACGTGCTTCTGGTGTTTCATCATGAAAACGATCACGTCGTTTGTCAAGTCTGGTGCGCTTTGCCTCTTCATCTTCATTAGCACGCTTTTCTTGGTACTTTTGCCGAGCCTTTTCTAACCGTCGCTTTCGTTGCGTAGCAGTTTCTTTTCGCTTTCTCTTCCCATGATCCGTTGTTTGTTTAGCATTTGTCGTTACCATAGGTCCTTGTTTTTTGTTTGATTTGTTGGTTAGCATTTTTGTTGGCACGAGTATAGGACAAATGACTTTGGGTCAAAGAGTGTCTGGCAATTTGTGATAAGTCGGGGCTTGAACTCATGAGCTGAGAGTTGAAAATGTTAATATAAAAGTCACATTTCCAAACCTCAGCCAACTTATAAAGCACTTATAAAGCACATACAACTCACTCTTAAATATGCTAGAGTATAACGCTCTATATAAAGTACCAAAATGTGAATTGAAAAAAAATACCAATTTCATACCCAAGATTTGAACTTTTGAGCTTTAGATCGAAAGGCCAACACTCCAGCGATTTGTCCACCACAAACAGCTTAATTTTTAAATGTAAATGGATATAACATCAATATAAATGTTAAAAGTTAACTTTCAATGGGGTTAGTGCAAAAAAGATGTCACTGACCCTATCCATGCATTGTCCCATTGGATGCACTACATCATAATGAACAACTTTTGTAAACACACCAAAGCATTTGATGTGACTTTACCTTAAAGGAACAAAAATAAAAATATTAAAAATGTTCCAGGCAAGGTTCGAAGTGTCAACTCCTACGTTGGTAGTAATATATATATTTAACAAAACCTGTTTGCAAAGCACTCGTGGAATAAGTCGTCCATACCAAATATTAATTGGTTTAAACGAGACAAGTAATTGATTAATTGATGGCGATTTTGATTCAGGCATGCATTGTCACCGGATCTGAGTACGTGTGCAAAATTAGGGATTGTGGACGAAATGTAGATTACAAGATTTGACGATTTGACCACGACACAGAAGTCAAGTTAAGTAAAACCGTTGAATAAAACAGTTGAAAAAAGAAAATCCCTCGAGATGTTCAAAGTGGAGATGTCCTTTTTCCTCCTGATGACAATCGCTTGTGTTGTGCTCGAAACGTCGTAGTTTTTTTTATCTACGTGACTTTACCGAAAGAACCAAAGAATTTGATGTCCAAAGTGTTTTTTTTCCAGACGGGTCGACCGGCTTCCTCGGGTCCCCCGTCTAGGCTCGGTCCTGGACTCGCGACGGCTCGAGGTTGTCGTAGATGACCTCGCTGTGATGCAGATCCTCGTACTGGGGCGGGTGGCGAAAACACCGCGCTCGCACGGTCAGTAGCTAGCAGCAGCCGTCAAGACGACTCGCATACGCAAGTACGTGTGTTGTGCAGTGTGTAGTGTAGTATGTATTGTAGTGTATGTATTTTGAACTTCTTTCGCACCACCGTACGTAGCCAACCATGCGAATCGGAGGTGTGGGAGGAAGACAAATGAAACACAACAACAAGAAGCAATTCTAAAGAAATTAGTTTTCAATTACGTATATTGGTGGAGTGTATTGTAGTGTATTGTGTAGTGTATAGTAGTGGTGTATAGTAGTGTAGTGTATAGTGTAGTGTATACTCGTGTAGTGCATAATAGTGTAGTGTATACTAGTGTAGTGTATTTTATAGTAGTGTAGTGTATAGTAGTGTATGGTAGTGGAGTGTATAGTGGTGGCGTGTATAGTGGTGGAGTGTATTGTAGTGTATAGTAGTGTAGTGTATAGGAGTATAGCGTATAGTGTAATGTATAGAGTAGTGAATAGTGGTGTATATAGTGGTGTAGTGTATAGTAGCGTAGTATATTGTGGAGTATACTGTATAGTAGTGTCATGTGTGGTGTAGTATTTAGTATGTAGAGTAGTGTATATTGTAGTGTATGTATGTTTATCGTATCTCTCACCACCGTACGTAGCCCACCGTGCGAATCGGAGGTGCGGGGTGAGGACAATAAACTAAACAGATTAAGCAGCAGTTCTAAAGGGATGAGTTTGTCAATCTACACGATGATTTAAAAGTTGCATAGCTCCCAGTGGCTTTATAATAGCGGAAGAGCGCTCCAGACGGAAGCAGAAGCAGGAGCGCATCCGAAAGCGCCGGGCGATGATGCGGTGACAACCGTCTGTGTTCCATGGCCGAGCCAAATGTGTAGTGTATAGTGTAGTGTATAGTAGTGTAAAGTGTAGTGTAGAGTATAGCATATAGTGTAGTTTAGAGTATAGTGTAGTGTAAAGTGTAGTGTAAAGTGTATAGTGTAGTTTATAGTTTAGTTTATAGTATAGTGTAGTGTAAAGTGTAGTGTATAGTGTAGTGTATAGTGTAGTGTAAAGTGTATAGTGTAGTTTATAGTTTAGTTTATAGTATAGTGTAGTATAAAGTGTAGTGTATTGTCTAGTGTAGTTTATAGGGTAGTTTATATAGCATCTGAAAGTGCCGCACGATGATGCGGTGACCACCATCTTTGTTTGATGGCCAAGCCAGAAGCCACCGCTGTCGCTCCGAGGATCAGCGGAGTGTCACTTGATCATGGTTTTTAGCTCCTTGACGAGACCGGGCAGAGAGGTGATTGCGGTTCGTTTGTGGTAAAAGCACTCTGTGTGTACTGAGTGCGACGTCGTAATGAGCGTAAGAGGTGAACCCTCACCTCCTGCTCAGGAGGACGATCTTCATATTGAGCAGATGCCTGCCGACCACCTGTTAAACAAACGCACAAAAGATCCCCCTATATAGCCTTATAAGACTGTTTAGGGAAAGTTCTTTTAGCGACCACTTATGAAGGCTGGAACGGAACACGAGGGGGTTTCCAGCAACCACGCCCGGCCGCCTTTGTCTCCCCAGTGGCGATGTTTACACACCGCACCAGGTACTCATTTGAGGCTGAGTTGACTTAGAGGAAGAGGCCCAGGAACGGTTCAGATAATCGTCACCGGTGTTTGCCGTTAGCGGGAATCGAACCCGGGCTCGCTGGGTTCGTAGTGCAGCGTAACGCTAACCGCTGCACCACCGCTCGCCATAACCCATAAAACAACAACAACACAATCCCTATCAGCAGTGTCACTATGGGCGTCGACCTGCACTCACTACACACATAAAGCACTCGCCACAAATTAACCGCAATCACCTCGCTTTCCCGAACTCGTCAAGGAGTTATAAACCATAATCGTGTGACACTCCGCTCATCCTCGCTGCAGTTTTTTGGCTAACCATCGAGCAAAGACGGTCACTGCATCGCACGCTTTCGGATGCTATATAAACTACACTATACACTGCTATACACTACACTTTACACTACACTATACAGCACACTATACACTGCACTATACACTACACCCTACACTATACATTAATATACAACACAGTATACACTACACTATACAGCACACTATACACTGCACTATACACTACACTATACATTAATATACAACACAGTATACACTACACTATACAGTACACTACTATAAATTACACTACACCATGCACTACACTACTATACACTGCACTATACACTACATTTTTGGCTGGCCGTCTGGAACGCTCTTCCTTCCAATATTAGGAAGCCACTCGGAGCTATGCAACCTTGAAATAATCTATATTGACAAACTAATTCCTTTTGAACTGATGCTTGTTATTGTGCAATGATGTTCAGCGCAAGCCGGTCTTCTTGCTGTCATACGGCCGCTGATGTAGATGCAGAGCCAACGGCTACAATTTCACATTCAGGTGGCCAAACCACAGACAACCGCATCAGGATCAGTAGTGGAGTAGTGAATCATCATCATCGTCGCTGGGATGAGTCTATGGGTCTCTGTGTGGTGATTAGTCTATGGGTCACTGTGTGTGGTGAGTATATGTTGCAGTGCTGAGTCTATGGACTGCAGTGCTGAGTCTATGGTGCAGTGTTGAGTCTATTGTTCAGTGTTGAGTCTATGGTGCAGTGCTCAGTGTATGGTGCAGTGCTGAGTCTATGGGCAATGTTATTCGATCCCGACCCTGACGCCACGGTGGCTAGGATATGTTAGCTACCTCGCCTAGTATACAGGAGGTCGTGAGCGCGATGCCTGTTGCTGTATATTTGGAGTTTGCGTGTCTCTCTCTTCTCTCCGTGGTCGCGTGGAATTTTCTCCGGGTCCTCCGGTTTTGCCCCCCTCCACATTTAGAATCAACTTCACCACGCGTTTACAACATTTGGCTGCCGCTATACATTTCCACGTGATGATGTTATCAATCAGTTCGTGCGAGCCATCATTTGTGGTAGTGAAGTCCGTTTCTGAAAAACAGAGCTACGTACTCTCTGGTTCTTTCGGTAAAGTCACGTAGGTATAAAATAAAATAATAATAAATCACGACGTTTCGATTTTCAACACAAGCAATCATCATCATGAGGTGGGAAAACCACAGTGGGAGAGAACATTTGTTTCTTGCTGTGGGTTTCCCACCTGATGATGATTGCTTGTGTTGCAATAGAAACGTCGTGATTTATTTTTATTTAATTTTATACCTACGTGACTTTACCGTAATAACCAGAGAGTATGAATCCCTGCAGTCACGAACACTTCAAATCTAGATTGGCATTTTCTGTTTACGTGACAACCCTTACTAGTTGAGCTGTGTCGGGTGGTGGCGGGTTTTAACAACACATTTATATATTTACACGATCTAACCCCCCCCCCAAAAAAACCCTCTATTATGAAGGATATTCTGCCATGTGGAAACTCACAGGCTGGGACTAAGAGGTGGGAATAGATCAATCGATAAATAATCGAGCAAAGCCCATTGCCATCTTTAGTCGTCCGTTACCCCCCCCCCCCCCCCCCCACTGGACTCGAGTCGCACCCCGCTCGCAGGAATGGAGTCGAGTCTTGGAGAAGGTCCACGGCCGAAGCGTCCGCGATGGATGAGAGCCCTCGGAGGTGACCTTCGGTTGAGCCATCGCCTTGCCCTGCGCCAACCCGCAGACGTCGCACGCTCGCTCAGACCTCGGCGGTCAGGTCGGGTTGGTGGTGGTGGTGTTGTGGCGGTGTGCGTGTGGTAGTGTGGGGTGTGTGGTGTGTAGTAGTTTGTGGTGTGTAGTAGTTTGTGGTGTGTGTGTGGTGAGTGGCGTGTGTCTGTAGTGTGTGTGTAGAGTGTGGTGAGTGTGTGTGTAGAGTGTGGTGAGTGTGTGTGTGTGTAGTGTGTGGTGAGTGTGTGTGGTGAGTGTGGTGAGTGTGTGTGTAATGTGTGGTGAGTGTGTGCGGTGTGTGTGGTGAGTGTGGTGTGTGATGAGTGTGTGTAGTGTGGTGAGTGGGGGATGTGGTGAGTGTGGTGTGTGTGTAGTGTGGTGTGTGGTGAGTGGTATGTATGTGGTATGTATGTGGTAGAGTGGTGTGTGTGGTTAGTCTGTGTGCAGTGTGTGTTGTGTGTGTGGTGAGTGTGGTGTGTGGTGAGTGTGTGTGTAGTGTGTGGTGAGAATTTGTGGTGTGTGGTGAGTGTGTGTGCAGTGTGGGGTTAGTGTGTGTGGTGTGTGGTATGTATGTGGTAGTGTGGTGTGTGTGGTGAGTGTTGTTTTTATGGTGAGTGTGTGTGTGCATTGTGTGTGTAGTGTGTGTAGTGAATGTGTGTGGTGTGTGTAGTGTGTGTAGTGAGTGTATGTAGTGTGTGTGGTGAGTGTGTGGTGAGTGTGTGTGTGGTGTGGGGTGAGTGTGTGTGTAGTGTGTAGTAGTGTGTGGTGTAGTGTGTGTAGTGTGTGGTGAGTGGGGGTGTGGTGAGTGTGGTGTGTGGTGAGTGTGTGTAGTGTGTGGTGTATGTGGTAGTGTGGTGAGTGTGTGTAGTGTGTGTGGTGTGTGGTGAGTGTGTGTAGTGAATGTGTCTGGTGTATGGCGAGTGTGTGGTGAGTGTAGTGTGTGCGTGGTGAGTATGTGTGTGTTGTGTGTGGTGAGTGTGTGGTGTGTGTAGCGTGCGGTGTGTATGTGGTAGTGTGGTGTCTGTGGGGAGTGTGTGGGGTGAGTTTGTGTGTAGTAGTGTGTGGTGTGTGATGAGTGTGTGGTGAGTATGGTGTGTGGTGAGTGTGTGTGTCGTGTGGGGTAAGTGTGTGGTGTAGTGTAGTGTGTGTGGTGTGTAGTGCGATTGTGGTGTAGGGTGTGTGGTGTGCGGTGAGTGTGTGTGTAGTGTGTGTGGTGTTTGTGTGTGGTGAGTGTGTTGTGTGGTGAGTGTGTGTGGTTTGTGTCTAGTGTGGGGGGAGTGTTTAGTGTATAGTATTGTGGTCCTGGACAGATGCCATATTTTCTGTCCGTCTGCTACAGCAGAGGTGTAAGGATTTCCAGCAAGTCCTACACCTCTGCTTTATTGACCTGGTCAAGGCCTATTATACCATCAGTAGGCCTGGGCTCTGGATTATTCTTCGTGCTTTTAGAGTCCCTGACCCTCTGCTCACGATTATTAAGGACCTTCATGATGGTGAGCGGGCCAGGGTAAAACTACGTGGCTGGAAGCCGGAGCCATTCCCTGTTCACCTTGGGGTGCACCAGGGATCTCCTCTGGCTCCCACGTTATTTAACATCTATTTCGACCACGTAGTTCGTAAAACATTCGATGGCTGTACCGGAGGAATTTCCATCCGGTGCAGATACAATGGGAAGCTGATCGTGTGTGGTGAGTGTGTGGTGAGTGTGGGTGGGAGTGTGGTGTGTGTGTGGTGAGTGTGTAGTGTGTGATAAGTGTGTGTGCAGTGTGTGGTGAGTGTGTGGTAGTGTGGTGTGTGTGGTTAGGGAAGCGGTGGTGTAGCGGTTAGCGTGCTAGTTTATTTTTACTGCCCATAGACTGGTCACCTTGCATGCCACGAGATCGGTAATCTCGCACTGCATGCGCGGCCAGATTAACTCATAGGTTAGCAATGCCGTAGGCCAGGGGTCCTCAAACTTTTTAAACAGGGGGCCAGTTCACTGTCCCTCAGACCGTTGGAGGGCCGGACTATAGTTAAAAAAAACTATGAACAAATTCCTATGCACACTGCATATATCTTATTTTGAAGTGAAGAAACAAAACGGGAACAAATACAATATTTAAAATGAAGAACAAGTAAAGTTAAATCAACAAACTTGCCAGTATTTCAATGGGAACTATGGGCCTGCTTTTGGCTAATGAGATGGTCAATGTCCGGTTCCATATTTGTTACTGCTAGTCGTAACAAGTGATGCAAGTGTGCATCCGTTAGTCTAGATCTGGTTTGGAGATTTCAAATGTTTCATTCTGGAAAAAGTCTGTTCACAGACATAAGTGCTGCCAAAGATGGTTGCCATTTTGAGTGCATGGTTCCTGAGATGAGGATATGTCTCAGAGGGGAGAGATGCATAGAAATTATGAAGGCTGCTTGACTTGAATGCGTCTTTCAGAGAGTCACAATTCTGCAGTTCAGCCAGTTCCATTTGGTAAATTGTATCCACATTTTTAATGTCAATAGAAAATGGGTTACGGAAAAGCTGTATGTCCTGTTCATGGAGATGAAGCTCTTTAAATCTAAATTGGAACTCCTTTTGCAATTTTTCCAGTGAATCCACACATGTTTTGTTTGGGAATGCAACCAATGGTTTTTCCGCTAACAGATTTTGAGTTGTGGGGAGATGGCAGAAGTTTTCCTCCTTCAATTGTTTGATGAGGAGGCCTAATATTACTTCAAATGCTTTGACATGTGATTGCATATCACAGATGAGCTTCCCCTT